GCGTGAAAGTTTTTCTGGCGGGAGAGCGTTTTCAGGAACGGCTCATGCTAGGAGGCAGGAGCTTCACGGAGATGCTCCTTGGCCGCGTCTAATCCAAGGATTTCAAATTTATCCTTCACGCATCCCCAGGTCTCACGTGCGCACACGCTAAAGTTTAAACTGGCATCATGCCAACTCCATATTTAAGCTGATCAATAAGCTGCAGAGAGCTGCAATTTTGCGGCTTTACTTGTCGCCTACTGTTGTGCCCGTGAAAGTAAATTGCTTGTCAGCTCTTCTGCGCCTCACGTACGAACACGTGAAAATTTCACGCATGCGCTTTTGTAGCTTTTGAATTGAACCAACCAGAAGACCTGGACTTTCTGAGCATAACCGACGATGGCCTTCGACCAGATGCACGCAAAATCGACTTACACATCAATTTCATGTCTCACGTACGTTTCACGTGTACACACGTGAAATTTGACATAACTCCGCAACCAGAGCAACTGGAGTGTTGAAACTTGCTGAGCGCTACCCAGGACCGTGTTTGAGCAACTGCGATTGGTGAAGGCATCCACGTTGCAACTCACGTGCGAACACGTGAAATTTGACGTAACTCTGCAACCAAAGCAGCTGGAGTGCTGAAACTTTCTAAGCGCTACCCAGGACAGAGTTTGAGCAACCGCGAGCGATGAAAGCACTTACGTTGCCACTCGCGTACGGACACGTGAAATTTGACGTAACTCTGCAACCGAGGCACCCACTGTGATAACTTCTAATAGTCGTGAGGGCCAGTCCCAATTCTTTTAGCTAGAAGCATTTGCCGGGAAGAACGTGCCACTGGCGAAAAAAACCTGCGGGGGAACTGTGCAAAAAAAGCATCCTCGTACCGGCAGCCAGTATGCATTCTACTAAGTTCAGTGTTTCAACTATTTTTGCATAGACTAAAATACAAAGCAGTAAAAATCATTAATGGGCAATCGTTCGATGGGCTGAATTGCACAAAACTCATGATCGCACCGGCTTGTCCGGTGCGCGTTGCTATTTATCTTTTTAGTTGGTTCTCTGTCCAAGTATTAAATTTAACTACACTTTTTCGGAATCTGAATCGGACACTAAAAGTGCGCATTCCCTACAATCACACACATAAAATTTTTGAACTCGCTGACATGTACTAGGCAGTATTACTGAAATGATCAGGCGCGGCAATGTCAGTTCTCTTACCCTCGCCTATCCAGTCATTCCTTATTTTGGTCTTACACCATATGCGCGTATCATTTTCCTGGACATTTTCCATTCCCGTCGAGTATCAATCACTGGCGTCCGCTAATTTCAACAAAACGAAAAATTTTTGCAACTGAATTCAGTCTGTATCATTGCGTATGTGAAATGCTTCGTCATTTTTTGAGAGCTCCACAAAAACTTTTCATATATGAAAATGAAAGTTCATAATAAAAGCGTACAG